TATAAAGAGAAACTTCTTTTAATCTAGAATCAAGATTATTTTAGATTAAATCAATTTCCAAAAATTCTAAAATACTCTTTCATTAAGAGTATAATAATAAATCTTATTTATATCTTAAAACTTATCAATATTTATAATTTTAATAAACTCGAGATTTTTCAATTTATAAATGATTATATTATAAATAATCTAAGAATGGTCTCCTTACTAGAAAAATAGTTATTATAGTTGTTTTAAATTAATTAATGTTTAAGACATGAACATTAACCAGCAACATAGTTAATGATCTGAAGAACTTTTTTATAATGCAGATATCAGATTAACATAAGATCCAAGTTAAAAGTGACGGGGGAGAATTTTTGAATAAAGATTATCAAGTGTTAGTTAAAGATGTTTCTTATAGACTATTTAATAATTGAATTACTACTTCCTACACTTCTCACAATTGTTATGAATACACTCTAATTAATAAGAGGTTGATGAAAGCATCCCTATACTTCGATCTTGAGTACTCTAGATAATTCTCCAAGAGTCTAAATCATAGCTGCTTTGCTTTTAAGACGATATAATTTAAGGCTTGCTGGGCTTTTTTACCTTATCTTTTTAATTAAATCGTCTTGTTGATTTTGGAAACTATTATTGTTTTTGAATTAAATTCAAACTCTATTTTCAATTAAAAAACTAATAACTTTTTGTAAGATTATTGTCTTAAGCAAACCTACTGATAGGATATTTCGATTCTATATATCACTATTTAATACTTGTAGAAGATCTATTTTTTTTGCAACAAATTAGATTATGTAAAAGGAAAAAATAAGATTTAATTCATTAATAATGTCTTTTTAAAGACTGTAATATTTATTGATTACTTCTATTGATTATTTTTATTAATTCATGGGAGTACATTTGAACAAAATAATGAATATTATGGTGAAAAGAATTTCCTTTTCAGGATATAATTGAATTTTTGGTGAAACGATTTTACATTATGGTTAAAAAGAGTGAATCAGTAAATGTGAAATACAAGCAAGAGGTGAATTTATTTGATTCAATTTGAATAATCGATAGAAGAAATTCAAAATTTTTATTGGTTTATGCTATTTATATGTAAATTCAACTCTTCTTCGACCATAAAACCTCTCACAAACATTTTGAAGTTGCTTGAGATATATTTTAAATAAATTATAATACAGAAAAAATAAGTCTTCAAATTTTAATAGATCTGAATTGTTTACCATTTATAGTTTTATCTACCATAGATCTATTAGAGAATTCTAAAAGCTTTAGATTACTACATGATACTTCTTATATTAAATTAATCTATCTTACTTTTATTGAAATTAAAAAAGATTTTTTCAGAAAAGCAAAACAATTATTTCAAGACGCTAACCTTTAAGGCATTAAATTTATAAAAATAACTAAATCTTCTTTTCAATACTATCCAAAATTACAACCAAATTCTTCTTTGAACTATAGTTAGAAGAAGGAAGGTTTTTTAAATCAAACATTTTCAACATTTGTGATATCATCCTAAGGGTTTCATAAACCCTCTAAATATAATTGTAATGAAATGGAAAAATAGTTTAAAGAAATTTTTCAAATTCTATCTATTTTGCTTGAACTTAGCCTTATTCTTAGTTATTCTCAATTTTAATTTTTGTGAATCTTGGGTAGTGAAGTCTTCATATGATATAATTGATTGGGCTAGAAGTTCAATAAGCCAGAATATTATTATCGGTATCACTCTGAAAGACTCAGAGATTGACTAAAAAAAATGAAAGACAAAGAACTATATAAAAAATATGAAAAATTCTCTGATGAATCTTGAGTCAAATTAATATAACAGTTTAAAATAGAAATAACAGAAATACATCGTTTATAGCTAATTTGCTCAAAAAATTCTGTTTTATAACTCATTCTGTAACCACAATAAAACTAGACTGGATTATAAATCTATATTTTTTCTTGCTCTTAGAAGGAATTACAATAATAATATTCCTTTCAGGCTGTTTTTGATAGTTTTGTTTACTCAAATATCTTCATTCTTTTATTCCATTCTTAATATAAGTTCTTAGTTTGTTATTATTGCTTCGTTGTTTATCTTATTCTTATGAGGAATTGGAATTTTATTTTTTAGATTATAAAAGTGTAATATTAAGTTCTTTTGACTTTAAATGCAAAATTTGTGGAAATTAATTAAGATGGCTTTTATCACTTGATGATATGACACATCTTTGTATGACTACTATAGATAGCTTGAGCAATCTATGGATGAAAGAATGGAATTAGAGAATATCGATGTCGATTATATCATTTTGGATAAAATTTGTAAATGGTTTTCTAAAGCTAATGAAAAATTTCTTAAGCTAATATAAACTAATGGTGATTTTTTTGAAAAAATAAGTGAAATTAGTATATAGAAAATTTCATTTATTTAATTGAATTGGATTGTCAAGAGTAAATAATTTGAAAAAGAAAAAGGATCAAATCTTACAATACATTATAAAAAAGATGAATGTTTATTTCTTTTTTTATAACAATATTGTCTATTTTCTAAATATCCTTATTTAATAGATTTTGTTCATACCATCTTAATTGGAATTAAGTATCAATAATCTCAAGGTATTTTCAACTTTTTAGATACAAATGTCGAGAGTACTTACTTAAGTTTCTTATTCCATTTAAAACAACCATTTAGAATTATAATCCATTAAGATTTTGTATTTGATCCATCATAATCCTTTGCAGATTAAAATAGAAGTCTTTCTGAAATATCATTTCTTTATGTGTTTGTGATCATTTGATCGATAAATTGAATTGATGAGGCGGAAATTTTGATGTGAATTTTAAATAATTTTATTAAAAGGCAGATAATTATATTTAATAGTGGTTTCCTTTAATGCCAGATTTTAACAGCCTTAATTTAAAGACTTTAACGTTTTGCAATCCAAAATTCAATTTTAATTTTAGACTTTTAATGTAGTATGATTCTTACTTTTTAATCACCTTAAAATTAGGAATTTATCTTTTTCTTCTATTGAATGATGTAAAGTAATATTTTTTTCAAAAAAAAATTCAATATCTTTGAGTGCCTGAGTGAATATTGTATTCAAAATATTACAATCTAATTCTTTTTGCCGTTACATAAAAACTGCTTATTAAATAAAAGAAGAATCTAAGTGTGCCTTTAGATCGGGAATAAGGAAAAAAAGCAATATTAATTTAATTGTTATTTAAATAAATAATGGTCTAAATGTGATAAAACCCTTAGGATATTGAAATAATGACTTTTTATTAGATATTAATTTGAATATAGAGCATTTATACTTAAAACAAGAATATTCGTTTTTGGTGATAC